GAGTTTGTGTTGGACATTATAAAGCAGCAGATGAGATGAATCTGTGCACCTCGACAGCAATGTCACGGTAAAAATACCTGCTGGTGAATTATGACCACTCACCTAGAGGTAGGAGCGTCCCTTTATGTCTTTATGGGTTCTCTGAAGACAGTTATATGGGACAACATGGGAAGTCTTATAGGAGCCCTGGTGCCTTGGGACTTGGGGAGTGTTGTGAATTTATAGTTCTACAGAACGGTCACCACTCTGATTGGTCCGGCACAGTAATGCTAGAAATGGAGAAGCTGAGCTTTTGAGTGTGTGCGTATGTGTGTTTTCTTTCCAGCGCTTTGCAGAAATACAAATTTGAGTGAATTTTTGCTTGTGGAAACATTTGTCACTTCGTATATGTGTGTGCATGGTGTGTGTGTCTGTGTATGTGTGTGGCTGCGTGTGTGAGGGATGGTTACTGTGCTTGGCGTTTCTCCTCCATTTGTCCTCCCAGAGGCAGATCAGGCGAAGGGGAAATAAATTGGAGAAAGAGAATAAATCAATGCTAAACTGAGCACCAGTGAGACCTCCTAACCCTGAAACTGTCACACACACACACACACACACAAAATGTGCCCAGGGAAAATGTTGTATAAGTCTGTATATATCCATAGAAACCTTAACTCACACACACAAGCTAAGAGAAGTGAAAAGGGGGTGGTTAGGTGTGTATTACACAGAATATATATGGTTGTTGGGGATATAATCACACCCTCCTCAGTTCTTGAGCTTTCTGACACTTAAACTATTTACAGTGCACACACTTCACATATCTTTTGCTCTTAGATGACAGTTCAACTGCTTTCACTGCTCATTCTTTCAGTGGTTTCATACAAACAATTCAACTGCCTACAGCGCTTAGACTTGAAATTTAAATTTCAGTCTTTTGCTACACATCAACTGACACTTTAATAATTCCACATTATTTATACATCCACTATTAAACTTATTTATATTTTTCAACTGACAGCAAATATTCAAACTGATACTGCACTTAAACTATCTTTGATGCTTCAAATTCAGCTGAAATTTCAAAGGCTTTCGTCATTTACAGTTCAACTGACATTTCAGCTGCTATATTTATTTATGTGTTTATTTAACAATATGTACAATGCACATTAATAAACATCACTGTAAATCTGCTTACTGTTAATATCCCAGAAGCTATTTTTCACCTGTAGTCCCTGGACGGTTGTCACCTGTTATTCTGGGCAACAGGTGCTTTCACACTTCATCTAACAGTTAAACTGTCTTCACTGATTACTCTTCAAATTGTAGTACAACTACTTTCAGTGCTTTCACTTACAGTTCAATTGCCTACAGCACTTTTACTTAAAACTACAATTTTAACTGCCTCCAGCCTCTGCACATCAGCTGACACTTTAACTATTTAAAGCGCACTCAGTCAGGCTTAAGCTTCAACTAATTTCAACTGGTTTCATCTCTTACTCTTTAAATTACAATTCAACTACTTTCATCTTTCACATTTCAACTTACAGTTCAACTGCTTTCACTGCTGTTTTTAAATGATACATTTCAAATTCTTTCAGCTCTTAAAAAGAGACCTGAAACCTTTTCAGTGCTTCACCTTCAGTTGCAACTCCCCATTCAATGTGTCAAATGCAAACAATTAACAATTTAACACATTTTAACCTATTAAGTTATTGCACCTGCAATTGTCAGCGTGAGCTCACATGAATTTTCCTTTTACCTTTTCTTGTACATCTTTAGGATTGTCTTGCACAACTCTCTCTCTCTCTCTCTTTTTCTCTCAAACACACACATCAGCAAACACACCGCAGTGCTCATCCTATTGGAAGAAATCAATGTATCAGTGTGTGCGGAAACAAGCTGGATGTATTTCCTGACTGCAAAAGACAGAGCACCAAAACAGCATCCTGACATCACTCTGCAGTTTCTACAGACACAATCTGCACTGTACCGAGCTGAGGCTACGCAGTTCACGCAGGCTACAGATGGAGCCGAGCACTGGCGGATGGGGGTCAGAGGGAGTGTGTAGATTGGGATTATGGGGGTGCATTGGGGAAAGGCTCTTCAGTGTGTTTTCTATTCAACCTAAGTCCTCTAAGACCTCCTCATCTCTTCTGAGAGCAGCAAGCTGAGATCTGATCTAATGCCGAGTGCCACATGCGAGTGTGTTTGTGAGAGAGACACAACACTTTGATGAGAGCCTGCTGGGTATGTGAGTGTGTATGAGTAATAAACGAGTCCACGGTGTGTGTGTGTGTGTGTGTGTGTGTGTGTGTGTATGCTTGTGTGCTTATGTTTAGGGGTAATGAAGGAGTCCAGGGTTTATATATTTCTGTGTGTGCGCTCCATGTCTGTGCACTCTCCCTCATCCCTGAAGGGTTGTTTGGGGTATTCTGTGCAGGTTTTGCTCAGGGGGGAGGTGAGTTCTTGGGGTCTTTCATTCAGATGTAATTAGCCCAGACAATGGCCTGGTTAAAGCTGGAATCCTTCGAGCCCCCTCTCGCTTTGATTGTGTGGGCCAGCTGTGGAGGAATGGCCATTATCTCTCTGTGTCCGGCAGCATAAAGAAGCCCCCCTGCCCAAGTTACCCCTGCGTTAGAGTTCCCACAGGGGGAGGGACATGGTCCGGTCACACACTGGCCTGGAGAAAGTGAAAGCAACCAGAATACTGGTTCACTTGCAAACATTCACTCACATAAATGGCTTCACCTCACACTTGAACCACTCTTTCTTAAACTAATGTGGGGAGCGGGTGGCACTATTTACACAAGAGCTAAAAAGTGGCTTTTCACATCTGGATTTGAAGAGTACCGGCCATGAATACAATTTTAGTGCCGCACTTCTACAACTGAGAAAAAACTCAATCTTCAGATAGACATGTAAAAAGCCTTTATTCTATAGATATATACAACGCTTGTGTGTTTGTTTTTGTTCCATCTCTGTGCGTTTCAATCATAAATATGTCATAGAGAGTTCTGCCTGCGCATAGGGACACTTACGCCCATTAGACTTGCGAAGAAATTGAATCTTTACAGCACTGGGGCCCTATAATTACTGTTAATTTAACGCTCAGATTCTCCATCATTAACTCCCACTCCTGAATACAGAACGAGGGACATGGAAACACAGACAGTATGTGTGTGGAACCACAGCATGTGTTGACAGCATACCCAGCCCTTTGACTGAATTAACAGTGACCTCTTCGTCTTGTAAGAACAGGACTCGCATCGTTTATGCGTTATTAAGTCCTGTAATTGGGCAGCCAGTAGTTTGCATATTAGTCTATTAGGATAATATGTTTTGCTTCTCTCAACACACGACTTGCCAGAGCCCCTGGCGACACATTTGGTAATTCTCAGAATTACACCCTAATCATAAACCAGTGTTCTTTCGATCCCTATAATTCAATGTGTCAGTTTATGTCTGCGCATCCTTAGCTTGATTAGATTTAAAGTATTTATCAATTAGCCAATCACTTCCTATGTGGAATTTTATTGTGCTGTGGTCTTTAATAATGATATAAGGGAAATGGACAAAGACTTTCTTTGTCCTTTGTGAGACTTTAAGACTTTAAATTAGCAAAATATGTACACATATATTTTCACTGGTGGCCGTGATGTTGCAGGGCACCTCTGTTTGAAGGTGAAACTTGCATATTTTTTGTCCTTTGAGGTTCCTTTAACCTCTTATTAGCTGTTATGTTTTACAGCCGGTGTCCCACTTTGAGCCAATAAAATCACATCTCCTAAATACCAGTAGTTGCCAAAGTAGGTCCAGGGACCCCCCAGGGGTCTAAAAGGGTTTCGGGGGGGGGCTCAGCAGAATGAGGATTAGTTTGATTTCAATATTGTTCATTCATTTAGAGATAGGACTGGCAGATTAGTGCTTTGATGAATTTTCACTAAACTACTTATTTTCTTACCACCAGTGCCAAGAGATGACAAAACTGGCCTATCAGATGAGAGATGGAAGAAGAATTCAAATCCTTAACTTAAGTTGAAGTAGTAATAATGTAGAAATCCTGCATTCAAAAAAGTAGTATTGAAAATAAAACATTAAAGATAAAATCCTACTTATTATGCAGAAGAGAAGAGTTTGAGAGTGTAAAATATATATTGCTGTATTATTATTTAGCAGCAGCGTTTTTAATAATCCTCATATAAATACTGACAATTCAAGGCCTGTTTCTTTTTTTTTTTTAGGGGGGGGGCAAGCCTCGCGTGCCGCTGTGTGTGCATCCATCTCAAAGTTTACCCAACAAGCAGGTGTAAGGGTGCACGGTGGGCGCAGAGCTGGCTGAAGGATCCATTCTTGCAGCCTCCTCTCTTTGGCCCCGAGCTGCCCTCTCCGCGCGCCCCCCATTATTTGCCCCGACGGCCGAGCGCGCGGCCCCAATGAGCCCTTTGGAACGGAACGAAAAGAAGGAGCGAATTGCAGCTGTGACGTGGGCGTTGTTCCATTCACCGCGTTCGCCATGGCAACGGGGCAGAGGCCCTGGAAGCACGCAGCCCCTCTCTCTGGACAGCGTCCTGAGGGCAGAGAGGCAGCTGGAAGTTTCTCCTCATGATCACTGCTCACTGTTTCATGGCTTCAAATACACAGAGATTTGGATTCAGGTTTCAGGTTGGGCAGTTTCGAGGATTTGGGTGCTAAAAGTTATAATTTGGAGCGCATACATGTGGCCACTTACATCAATTAATGTGTGAATTCGGTGTGTCTTTTTTCTAACTTTTACGCACCGTTTTTGACACACGAAGGAAATAAATGTGACCCACTGACCCAGATCAATGTTAATAAAGTACTTCCAGCATAGAGGAAAATGTTTTTTTTTTCTTTCTTGTAGCTCAGCTTGTTCAGTCTTTTCTGTGTTTACACTCCGCAGCCGGATTTCTCCCTCCACTTTGTACTCTAGCATGCTGCAGGACTGCTAGTATTGTTGGGCAGAGTGATTGGGGTTTCTGTACAATCTCCCGTGACCAATGAGCGGGGTGCTGTCAGGGGTAACCACATCTGTCAACCGTTCTTGGCCAATAAAGAGCGGAGCGAGGCGGACCACAGGTGCGCGCCTCTGCGTCCCCTTGGCACAGCGCCCGGGAGATGCTGGAGAGAGACGCCTAGCTGCCCCGTGGCGCAAAAGAGTTACTGTCAAAGGCAGCCTCCTTTTAACTCCAGCTATCACTCTGGCTCCGATAGTTATGGCGACCGCAACGTCCAACCACTACAGCGTCCTCACCACCCCCAGCAGCGCGCCGCCGCCGCACTCGGAGTCCGGGAGCATGCAGCAGGCGGCAGCGTACAGGGACGCGCACACCCTGCTCCAGAACGACTATAGCACGTTACCGGGCGGTGGACATCCGCTCAGCCACGCGCACCAGTGGATAACGGCGCTGTCTCACGGTGACGGCGGGGCGCCCTGGCCATCTAGTCCCCTCGGAGAACAGGACGTGAAGCCCGTACTGCACGACAGTGACCGAGAGGAACTGCAGAACTCCAGCAGTCTGCAGCAGCAACAGCAGCAGCAACAGCGACACCCTCACCTAGCGCACCAGCAGGCGCATCACGACGCCAGAGCATGGCGAACCAGCACAGCCACCACGCACATCCCCGGTATGGCGACATCTGAGGGCCAGAGCCTGGTGTATTCCCAGTCCGGCTTCGGTCTGATGCCGGGGGGAGAGCAAGGGGGGATGCACCACCACCCCCTGCGGGACGAGGACCACCACAGCCACAGCCCGCACCTCAGTGAACATGGAGGCGGCCCAGGGGCCCACCAGCAGTCTCTCTCACACCATCACCAGCACGGGGGCCATCAGGACCAGTCAGACGAGGACACGCCGACCTCCGACGAGTTGGAGCAGTTCGCCAAGCAGTTCAAACAGCGACGTATCAAGCTGGGCTTCACCCAGGCGGACGTGGGACTGGCTCTTGGGACGCTGTATGGAAACGTCTTTTCTCAGACCACCATTTGCAGGTTCGAGGCGCTTCAACTCAGCTTCAAAAACATGTGTAAACTCAAGCCCTTGTTGAACAAGTGGCTGGAGGAGGCGGACTCCACCTCGGGGAGCCCCACTAGCCTGGATAAAATCGCGGCACAGGGAAGGAAAAGGAAAAAGAGGACCTCCATCGAGGTGGGCGTCAAAGGGGCTCTGGAGAGCCATTTTCTCAAATGTCCAAAACCAGGAGCAGCGGAGATCAACTCCCTAGCGGACAGCCTGCAGCTGGAGAAGGAGGTGGTGAGGGTTTGGTTTTGTAACAGGCGGCAGAAGGAGAAGAGGATGACACCCGCTGGGGGACAGATACCAGGAGGAGAGGACATGTACGGGGACACCCCTCCTCATCACGGAGGACAAACTCCTGTTCAGTGACCTCCAGTCCGTTATTCTGAGCAGAACACGGACCCCTTACGGAGGAATAATGCCTCCTTATTTGTTTGATTCTCTGTGCCGGACCGCTCGGAACTGGACCTCAGCCAGTTTAAATGTCGGACCCACGGACACACAGTGGGGATATACAGTGGCACTCAAGCACTAAAAATACGCATAGTAGAGAGCTGTATGGAGAGGTTTCATGCCGCGGAACTGCCAAGCATATTGGGATACAGCTGGTGTGTGCTAACCAAAAAAGAAAAAAAAAAAGAAAAAACAGCGACATTGATACGAAACGCTTTTACCTTCTACCGAGGCGCCGTTATGTCATTATGTAATGTGTCATTAAAGAAAGGCGAGAGTGTGAGATGGACACGAGGTGTCCGCAAGGGGGGAAAAATATAAAAACAAGCTTGGGGCTCGATGATAAGTCGCAGTCAGTGTGGGTAAATAAACGCCATCTTTCCATCATAACAAAAGCAACAGGGGTTCTTCGCAGCTTGTGGCAAGAGAGGGCTGAAATGGCAGACACCTGCTGTACAACGTTAAAAATGAAAGCCAATACCAGCCAACTGCTTTCATTATATTATTATTATTATTATTATTATTATTATTATTATTATTATTATTATTATATTTTGTTATTATACAA